GTTTTACTGTAAATGGCAAATAGTACGAACATACACTTCTGATTGATTAATGATTAGTGTGTTAAACTGTGTATGATTTGGTTTTCATGCCAACAAATAATTTACCCCGGTAAACAAAAATTGACTGTAAGTTTAATTAATGTGTTTTGGTCCTATGAGTCACAATTGAACCGTGAGCATAAAAACGAATTACAAAAAAAAATCGCCGATCAAAACGTAACATAGATTTGACGGCGTAACATACCAGTGTACAATTTGTTCCGAATTGAACGAGTAACAAATAGGTGTTTCGCTTTGTTCGGTGACGTTCTTGTCAGTCGTTTTTATGCGCACGGGTTCAATTTGGCATTTGATAAAGATTTATAATACCACAAGATAAAAGCAAGAATAATTTGAAATTCTGCTATAAATTCGCATTTTTTAATAGCAGTATATGAATACAAAGAACTTTAGATACAGCTGCCCAGCAAGGTACCAAATGGAAGCTGGTTGAATTCCCTACATTGGCAAGCAATATATCCTTATGCATAATATTTATTCATTTGTTTTGTGTATGGCGCATCTGGTTACTTTGGGAAGCAATGAGTGGTAAAGCGTCACACAGTGTTTTTATCTATCAAGTATTCATCAACATTTTGAAATGCATATGTAGATCAAACGCTTGCGTTCAAGTGGGTGGTTTTTCAGGGATTACAACTTTTGTTTAAAAAACAATCCCGAAAAATGGCCAACCGATTTTATAATTTTAAATTTTTTGACACACGTAGTGAAAGACTGAATATTCCGGTATGATATCTCCAGCAGAGTGGGTTTGGCTTGACGAGGGCTACAATTTATGCATACATCATATCAAAAAATACACGAAATGTGTGTACTTGCATAATAAAATTTTTGAAGAAAACCTCCAATGGTTCATTTTACTTGAAAAAATTTATTTTTTCATATATTTTTGTGAAAAAATGGTTATAAGCACTTACTAAGCCTGACGCTCTACGAAATCCTACTTTCAATAGATGTCACCACCCAAACTGAATAATACAAATGAAAGACTTCTTTTACATTTACGTATTATTTCAATACTCCAATGAAACCAGTGTGTTTGTAAATAGTAAAATTCACAAAATTTGAATAAAAATGAATATAAATTATAAAGTAGGAATTCATGAAAATCAATATTATTAGATCGGAAACAAATGAAATTTGTGGAAAATTACTTGTGTTCCGATGAGCACATATAGATTCACTGTCATTCATAGCTCGGTCTTTACCTGTTTCTGAATGCATTGCAAACGGGTACCTCCTCAAGTTTACTTTTTCAATGTAAATGTATATGTGCATAATTTTTATTGGTATATATGTATATACACGCAATTTTAAGTCGAAATGAATTGATCCTACTATATTTTGTCCAACTGACAATCAATAGTAACAATACATGTATAATTCCCAAAGCCCTAGAAATTAGAGAATGATGAAAGCCAACCAGAAACGAAAAGAATACACTTTAGATAGAAACCGAAAGAGAATGAAAGAGAACAACTGATATTACACAAAATGACTGTGTGTGGTCTCTTTATTGGCTTGTTGGGTGGTCTTCCAGTCCAAATCTGTATCGTTTTGTGTGGTCTTCTTCTCTAGTGTTTCATTCGTTGTGTAGCATTCATTTCGTATTCGTAGGAAACCCGTACTCTCCGCAAAAAAGCGAACGCACGTATTATAAGCACTTTTATCGGTATGTGTGTGTCCAATAGTATTTGTAGAGAGCCTAACAAGTTATATCTCTTGATCTGTGTACTGTTTGTTGGGTTGTGATGCATGCTAACCAGAATTTTGTAAGTTATGGATCATGCCGAAAGATCACTTGTTGATCAATTTACTCATAAACTCATGTTAACATTGGCTTTCCTATATTATTTCAAGTAATTAAGAGCAAATATGAACATTCTCGTTTTTAGGCAAAATGCATATGGAAAAATAACAAATGAGAAGCTATATTAAATAATAATGTTTATATACATTCAAAGAACTTTCGAAAATGTTCGCAAGTAAATAAAAAATGTTACACTGAAGAAGTCCGGAAAATTGTTGTTATTCACATTGAAAATTCGAAAAAAAACTAAACTCAGGTTGAAAATCGATTTCTTTGTTTAGAACAGTCATTTTATGAACATGATTTTTGTATTGAATTCTTGATAGATTTCCTACAGTTCAGTACGTCTAAAAATTAACGCAGATTCCAAACATTTACTGAAATTCAATTTTCTGATCCAAAAGGATGTAGTTTTGGGCTTCTAAAAACGATTTGTCGGAATATTTTGTATTTTCATGGAAATTAGAGGAAAAATACACAGTGGGCCATTTTGTCTACGAGATAACTTTTTCCTTTCATTTTCGCCAATTTTGTGCATCTTCTTCTTTTTCTTCAAAAATCATGATAATAGGCGAGAAAGGCTGATATGATCAAAGATTATTGGAACCATCAAATAACGGCCGGTTTTAAGTAATATGATCACATCAAACCGGCATTTTGTCCGTGTGTATTAAACCTGAAGAATTTACCCAATTTTTAAAGGAATTCTAACGCACCGAAGAACGAATGACAAATTTCTGTTGGACTAATTTATTTTCACGTAATTTTTTTAACCTTACAATAGAGTTAAAGCTGAAGAGCTGTAACTGATTAACGTCTCGTACAAAGTTGTGGTTCATTCTAGATTCACAAAAAATAACAATAAAAACAGTCCAATATGAATCTTTTTTTTTGGGGCGATCGCGGGGTCCATGGCTTTGCCGAAGACATTGGACTTTTTTATCTTATTAGTTTCGCAAAACAAAAACAAATGAAATTTTGTTGTGAAATTGTTGTTCGTCGCTGAATATTCGTTTCTGGCAAAAATTGAAAAATGCTCCAAAACTTTTAATGATTGATGTATACAAATCTCGTCGTATACGTATCATCATTAAAGCATTCAAAACCATAGACTGTGCAAAAACGTTTGATGTGAATAGCAACTATTTACTCAGATAATGAAATTCTTGAACAGCATACGGCATTTCGTCAAAAATCTTTATTTTTGCATCCCAAAATCGGCTAAATCCTAGTGCTTTATCAAATAGTTTCAACGAGGCAAATGTCCGGAAACTACTATATTATTGTGAAGAAACATGAGTCTCCAAACCAGTTTCTATGAATGTAACTTCAAACTAAACCAACATTTCGTTGTGAAACAAGCAAACGTAAGGAAATTACTTGATATTATATCCATAGATAAACCCAAGCACGCGTTCTTGGTGAATATAAGACGACATCGGTCCTCTAGGACAAGGACAGCATCAAAATTTTATAGTACACGGGCACTTTCGATGCTTGTGTGTGTGTGTGTGATACTGTGTGCGTAAACGACAATGTTCACTTTCAATATGTTATTGACCGTTTCAAGCTGTACCGTCTAGAGGGCGTCTTGGTATTTTACATAATATCTTTCCCATTTATTTATATAGGAATAAAGCGACCTTGATAAACCCATTAAACACTAAAGCTGAAAATTTGGACGTACCCACTATCGGTTAGATTTGGTTCAAACACTAAACTTAGTTCGAACTCGATGTCTTCATTTTTTCAGCCATGACTCACATAGCGGAGGGTGTCGTCGACATCTTTTTGTTATGAATGCCAACAACAACAAAGTGGGGGAGGTTTGTTTAAAATCAAAGGGAGTTTCGAAACATTGTTACTGCATTTTAGTTCTGATTTCATTTTTATTGATTTTCAAAATATTTATACTATAAGTTCCTCACAATAAACTACCACTAATTTTTATTTGTTTCTTTTTGTCTTGTAACTTCTTTGTTTTGTTTTATTTGAAGAAGTTAAAAACGTATTTCCAGTTTTATATTATTTAGATGTTGGATCGGTTTACTTATAAAATAGATTTCTTATTGTTTTTAAGAGTTGTTTTTTAATTTCTCTTTTACGATGATAATTTTGAATTAGTATCATCACGGATTTATCATTTTGCTTCAAGTGAAAACGGCATGAATCGAAAGTGAGTGTATGCTTATTTTATTGTGCTGTTATTAATATGATGAAGTGTATTCATTTTTCCTTACATTCAATTACTTCAAAAAAAAGTTATCCTCGACTCTGTTCTCTCTATGATTTCCATTGCGAATTTATCACTTTAGCTTATTGAATTAATATAATTATATCGTATCGTTAATAACATTTCATTTTGTTGATTAACCCATTTTGCCTACGGATAATGTAACAAAACTATCACATTGGCAACGTATTTCTTATGGAAGAATTAACAGTAATAATCTTCCAATGTACCATTTGCAGTCAAATTGGTTAGTTCGTATGAGCTCGGAATTTCCGAAATCCTCCAAATTTTTAATCTCTTTCTGATTGAGAAAAATATCTGCAAAATTCATTTTCAAAAGAAGAATCTCAAGCAAATAGCAGCTGTTTGGCATACCTGGAGATAGGATTGGCCAAAGATGCCAACACGGATGGTATGTCAGTTATTAACGTAAACAAAACGATATAGTTATATTGCAATAATATATTATCGATAATATAATATCTTATTAGCGTTATAGTAATATAATATCGTGGGTAAATCTGTGTTAGACGAATCTCTTGAAAATGAACTTCATATTTCATCAATTTGAGAAACTTCCTTTTGTAAGTTTAAATTATTATTTTACATATTTCTGTGCACTTCATGTGGCTACTTGATAGCAACGAACTGGAGGCTTCAAAGTCAATAAATTTTTAACATAAGGTGTTTGAGGTAGTGAAAAGTGTTTGTTCAGCACAAGTGTGAACTGTAAATGTAAACGTTCAACGAATGCAATCAGTAGTGCATCAAAAGACAAACATAGTTTATCAATAGGATTTGATTTGCAAACATTAAATACGAAATATATCTTAATTTTTCAATAAATTATTAAGTTAATCCAATAAAATTAGTAGGAAATAATTTACTTGTTAACATTTCATTTGTTTGTCATGAGTATGTGGTTCAGTATTATTAAGTCTCAGAATAACTTTTGCCTTTGTTTGTATAATGGATTCGTAAATGATGATTGTTGACATACAACCCATCCGGATTATTGGTAACCTGAATTCATTTTGATTATTTCACTTCTGCAATCAATATTCAGAAGTCATTTCAATATACTAATAATATTTGACCAACGCGCAATCATTCTTATATATCCTTTTCAAGTTTTCCCGAAGATGAATATTCGATGATATCCCATTATATCATAAATATAAAATTTAGTTCAGGCAGAAGCAATTAAAATTACAACTTTATACATTGGTTTCAACGTAGAAACTAAATTTTTGGGTTTGTATTTTAAACTTTAAGTGGCACTTAAACAGATCCTATAATTTTATTTACACACGGGGACGACGTTGAAAGCATTTGAACGTTGAAATGTTGGCAACATGGAAAACCATTTCATTTAATAAAACAATTGGTTATGGCTTAATTTTTAAATCACAAATATAGCCTAACTGTATTTGTAATTTTCCCTTTGAAATAGGAAGAATATTTTGAAAATTTGATTTGAATAATACTATTTGAGGTTTCATTCAAATCTGTCGAATGTAGATGTCATAAAGTGGTTATAAATCATAATCCGAAAAATAGCCGGACAATATCAAAATGTGTGATAGTCCTTTTTACGTGGTTATATCCAATGGTACTATTTCAAAAACAATCGCGCACGATATTACGTGAAAATAGCCACCCTAAACAATCTTTCTATAAATATTTTATGTATCGAAAATGATCCACGATTGCATTCATAACAAGCGTCTTCATGTCTATTGCTTTTGTATAGTATGTCTGGTCCGATGTCAACCTCATTGTACAGACACAGTGGCATACAAAAATTACAGATTTTCTGCGCTACATCATTAGCTATGGCTATATGTTCTTGTTATTCTAGGTGTCACTAGTTCAACCTTAATGTTCGCTGTTGCCGTTACTTTCATTGTGTTCGAGTCTCCGCCATTTTGTGAAGTTTCAACAATTACTTCAGGCTGCACAACGATACTTTGCAATTCTGACAAATTGTTGGAAGAATTCTGTGTATTGGCACTGAATTGGTGTTCTGTATGGTGTCCATTGGTTGACATTGAAGATGATGAGCTCTTCCATGAATGTGGTTCTTCTGTTATTGTGGTTAGACTTGGTTCGTCTTTCATGTTTGTATGTTGTTTGTGATATGGTTTTTGGTAAGAACGTGACGAGGATGAATTTGTTGAATGTCGATTAGTGTTGTATGATTTTGATCGTTTTTGTCGATATGTCGGTGGAGATGGGGTGGATATTCGGTCAGGGTGTCCAAGTGGAACGAGTTCAGGTGCTGGACCGACAAGGTTCAACAGAATAGGAAAAAAGAACAAACCGTTTACAATTCCGATCAACATTACAGCTAGAAGTAACCAAAAAAATTGGCGAACTATAAAATCGAATTGAGATGTAGACAACATAAAGACAGCCAAAAGTGATGTGAGAGTTGCGTGGACAACAGGCGCGAAGGATGATTGTAGAGCAAGTCGTATGCGACGATCGCGATTACCCACTGAAGTGATGAAGCCCTGTAAAATAGAGTTCTTAGCTGAGTCAAACAATTGAGTAGAAATGAAACTAGAAAACTTACCAGTGAAACGTGAACGGTGAAGCTAACTGATAATCCAACACTCAGCACCATTATTACAGCTGGTATAGCCGATAATTTCATGTCTAGAAAAGTCATTATGCCTACTAGCTGAATGAGGGTAGAAACAGCATTAAATACTATTAACACCGCGGCCCAGGCAGATAATAATAGGATTCCAACGCAAATGAAGGTCGCGCAGAGGACACATAGTATGATTAATGACAAGTATATTCTCAGGTCCATATACTGTTCCCAGAAAATGAACGGAATTCCAGATGGATAATTCGGTAGGCCACGACCCTCGAACTTTCCACACAGCTCTCTGATTGTGCTAATAAGTGTACGGATCTCTGGTGTGTCACTCAAACCATGTAAATAAAAAGGCAGTTGTGTATATGTAAGAGGGGCACTTTTCGGAATTTTAAGCTCGTAATCTGCAGGTGAATGAGTCCATTCTCGAGGCTCTGGTCGGAGTTTACCCTATCAAATGAAAATATAACATATGTGATTTACGTTATTTATCTTATAGCATGGCGTCATAGTTAATTTTTCTTACCTGTGAGGCACTGTAGGAGAATACATCATTCCATGCCCACGCTGATAAATAGTTATAAAATGCCTTTGGATTTATGATACCTTCACTATCAACCAATCGATTTGTTGTTACCAATGACTTATCGATTGGATTATCCACATATCCTGTTTGAACTAACAATTTGTAGGCCAATATGGCGTCAGTACTGGCATTTCTATACCATCTTTCCTGTGTAATTTTGCCATGTTTATAGTCACGATCAAATGCATTCTGTAAATTGATTAGCCAGTCGCGAAACATGCTCAACCAGAAGTCAGGTAAACCACCGTTATCGTTTTTTATGACTTGTGGAACACGAACGAATGCTTCATGGTATTCATACAGCAACCTCTGGTTAGTTGGATATTCAAAATCTCCCTGCGTCACCGCAAACATATTGTAAAAACTGAACATTTTGCTCTGTATGTTCAAAAATTGATGTTCATTTGTATTTTTTGGAACTAGATCGAACAGATCCAGGCCATCCTCTATCTTCATAGCATTAATGAGGCTATATCCCATGACTCCAGCCAAAATCAACATGCCGAAGAATTTGATAGATCCCTGAGTTATGAATTTTGCATAATACTTATACGCAAATTGTGATAGTGAGAATTTGGAAATGTTTTTATCGGCATATCTTACAATAAGACTTTGATCTGCACCATTCATTCGATTGTTTCCATTGCCAGGTGTATTCTGAGATTGTTTCATGGGCGGATAACAGCAACAAAAGAAATCTTTTCTGCCAGATTGTCGACGGCGAAGATCTAGTGAAATCATGGCTGGAAAAACTAAAAGTGATGCTGCTAAATTGAAGCACATTACGATAGCTGACTGGATACAGAATATCTTCAACGCTGGTACAGGTATCAATGCAGCTGCAAAAAAGGACGCAATTGCTGTGCTAGCGCTTAACAAAATTGTGGGACCTGCCTTCTTTAGAACGTCTTTCGTTTGGTTGCATGTATTGCTTTCAGCGTATGCATGGGTCAATACAAATATATGGTTTACACCCAATCCGATGGCAAGGAATGGAATGACTTGCGTCGTAGATGCATTAAATGCTCTTCCCAACATGGCACAAAGTCCTAAGCCAGCAGCGGTTGCCATTCCAATTAGGAGAACTCCTGCGATAACGACAGCACCTTGACCACGAATAGGATCTTTGTATCTTATCGATATGATTACCGCATAAACAATGGTGACCCCAATAAAAATGCATAGACTCAGAGTGTTGGGGTTTGAGTATTTACTAAGTATATCATCCAGAGTAGACGATGAAAATGCAAAAATATCGTGTGATCTTGATAGATTTCCGTATTTCATTATCTTTGACACCTAAAAAATGTAAAGAAAACATACAATCAAAAATACTTATTCAAAAATACCACAAATATTGTGGTCAGAAAAGCGAATAGATTACCTACCTCATTTGAAAATTTCCGCTGCCATGCATTTAAGACTGCAGCAGCTTTTTCTTGTGACCATCCCATATGATGCACATCCCAGTGACCCTTGAAGCTCTCAAACATTTCCCGTTCAGTCATCAATTGAATAACCGTTTGCAATGCTTTTGCACGTTTTAGGTGGCGCGTACGATTACGCTCAGCCCCTCCAACAATTAATTCTTCTGGCCAATGCATGTATTTTGCTGCATAGCTGTAACATCCACCGGTCAATTCTGCACCAATGTCAACCTGAGACCTACTCTTTTTGTTTGGTGCTGTATTCGGACAAAGCGGATCAAGCGGATTAAGGCATGGTTTCTCTGTGAAACCAGTTGATATGCCAGCACGTTTTAAATATTGATCGACGATATCGAAAGGAAATTGTTGGTTCGAATTTTTCAATGTTTCCAACATTTTCTGTGGATTCAATGAAGTCCAATAAATTTGATCATTCCAACCACTATGAAATAGAGAGAAAAAAACATACACAATTTGTTAGTCGATTCACTTATTGAAAATCACGAGAAAAAAAACAATGAAATACATACGGAACTTTGGGGGAGTAGTCGGGACCAAGCAATTTACTTCCTTCCCAGAAACAATCTAATGGTGTAATGATTGAACATGGAATTAATCTTTCAAAGATTTGATCAACCAAAGGAAACTCAATCGGAGGAATCGTTGGTGCAATGCAAATATCGCGCAAATCCCATGTTTTTTCAAACATTTCAATTTTTATCGATGTTGCTTTCTCCAAAACTTCCAAGTGTGTTAACAATGCCTGCGGGTGCAGAACAGATGCGTCTGGATCTTTTGGCGTTTGTATAAGTAACTGATGTGTTGTGGATTCGATTTCTCCTAAACTTTTTTGTGTGTATGTCAGCTCTTGTTCCAACCGTCCTCCTTCTGTAAGTAATAAAATATACATCTTATTTTCAAGTACTTCAATGAAAAAACCGCTCTCTCTTCCGGATTTGATGTATCAATTTTCGAAATTCTACGTTGGATTTTTCAACGGATATTTTATATTTATCAATCCCAATTGAATTCTATTTGTTCAAAAACTGTTGCTTTCCAAGAAATAGTTTTAATTATCATTTTCACAATTCAGCATTGAGCGGAAAGGACGTTTTTTGCATTTTTCTCGCTATTAGAAAGAGATAGCGACTAGATGTCTTCGGTTTATTTGTAGTTCTTTTTATTTTCTACAATAATCGTTATCTATTGCCAGTAGCGAGAAAAATGCAAAAACCTCTATTCCGCTCATTGCTTAGTTGTGTCACTTTTGCTCGCAACTTTATTTGTCTCTTTTTTGCTCTAAATGTTTTTCCGTCTCACTTGTGGATAAACAGCTCATAAGTTGTTCTTTTGTTCTATGGGTGTCAATTGAAAATAAACACACACGGGATTCAAATCAATTCCAAGTGTTGGTTGCGAACTGCAGCTCAATTCATGGCAAATATTAGAAAATATAACACCATCAATATGGGCAACTCTGCTGCCCCCAGGCTCCGCCCGAGTACTTCCGTAAAAAACCGATCGATTTCTGCCCTATGGGAATAATCCTTTCAGGGGTCGCTTTAGTGCTCCGATTTGTGTTTCATTTTAGTAAACATCAACAACTACACAGATTTTACGTTGTTCACCAAACAGAGATTATTGTATTACACAAACACCAATGCAGTGTCCGCATTCATTATATATTTCGGCATCTGTCGGTCTCTTTATCATATATATTGATGCATAATACAGAAGATAATCGATAGTACAATATATATGATCGATTGTCCCTTCCTCACTTTGAATCCTTATCATTGAGAACCAAAACTCAACGGTAGTTGTTGACCAATATACACTCGCCAATATACACAGCGATGCAATAGCATTCAGCCCCAACACACATCGGTCGCAACTGTAGGAAGAGTGGGGATTCGTCTGTATATGTGTTGTATAGAGTCTGATTTGTTGTTATGGACATGCGGCGCCCCTTTTGGGATAATTTTGATACCCACATTGTTTCGGAGGTTCTTAGGTCAAATTTTGATGTTTTTCAAACATTGCCTTGCCAGCAAGTGGGCAAGTAATTTTGCCGTCCATGTTAGTAAATCTTTTCTGAATTATCCACAAAGATTGTATCAATAATTATTCTCATTTGAAAATAAAATCAGTTTTATAAAATTTTGCCTTTTTTTCGGAAAGTCCTCGAGGACTTCTCCCTGAAAACTGTTTAAAGACCTTTAATCTAAAGGTGGCAAACGGACGGACAGAGGACGAACATTTCGTGTCCGTCCGTCCTTTTATTGATTTGGGACAAACGGACATATGTCCCAATGTCTCATTTCAAATTAGGACAAACGGAATTTTTTTTAAAAAGACTTATATAATTTCATTTAACCTTCGGACTGTGTTTGGGTAAATAGAACATGGACTGTGTTTAGTGACATTTTTGTCACCTACGTATTTAAAAAAAAAAATAACATCTTTTCAATATTTTCCTTCGAATTTATATGATATTCGATTGAATACAATATTATTTTCATTATTTATGCATTTATTTATGTCAAATAACACTGCAATCTATTCTTTGAACCATCCGGAAGTTCGATGTGTAGTGGCTGCATTTGACAGTCAACTGAATTTTGACTTGGTGATTTTTCTACTCGTCATCGAGATGTATTTGCATGTGTCAGAAAAAACCTGAAAATACATGATGTCTCTTTCAAATTTTTGCTTATACTTTTCCGCAGGACCCGTGGGTCGTAGACCCGTGGTCCTAAAGGAAAGTATTGCGATTGGCTCAAATTTTAACACCCCCCAAAAACATGATTTCTATCCGTTTTCAAGGCCGTAGAACACGAAAAAATGGTTTTTAAGGCGATGTTTTGTAGGTCGTACGTCGTACGTGCCGCACAATCTTTTTATATGTTCCGAGTGTTTGAGCTATTGGCTGGAGATAATCCATCACTTTTTTTGTGGTGTGTTTGGGGCCTCTAGAGGATCATTTATAACTATTCACCATGTGTGTCCGACTTTCCAAAAAAAAATTATAGCCGTTTGAAAATAAGTGATATTTTTCCCATTGTTTTTCGAATTTTTTGTTTGGAAAAATCTAATTTTTTCTAAACAAACCATATTAATTTCTCATAAATTGAATAACAAACGCAGAGAAGCAATAATACAATGAAAATCTGCTATTTTCCAAACAAAAAATTCTTGACTCCATAATAAAATATTCAGACTCCACAGCGGAAAAGTTCGTCTTACATCGTAAGACCCTTTATTTGAGTTGAGAAGACTCCGATGTTAATGTACAAGTGTAAAATACAGAAAAAAATCATATGCAGTAATAAGTATATTGATTAGAAAACACATGTGACATTTTGTCACCAAACACAGTCAAAGGGGTATACCGGTCCGGAGTTTAATTTTATATGAAAAAATGGATTTTTTAAAGAAATTTTTTGTTTTATATTATAGATTTAATGGGCGGAAAAGCATTCCACAAAGTTTCAGATAAAAAATGTCATGAAAAGTTTTTTTTTTCACTTTTTATAATGGAAGTGACAAAAATGTCACCAAACACAGTCAGAAGGTTAACTAATGGAAACAGAAATTCTTAAAACATATTCAGCCAGTATCGAGTGGTACTCAATTTTCGTTTTCATTAGTTAAATGAAGTTATATAAGTCATTTTAAAAATTTGTCCGTTTGTCCTAATTTGAAATAGGACATTAGGACAAATGTCCGTTTGTCCCAAATCAATAAAAGGACGGACGGACGAACAAATTTTGTACCTTTGCCACCTTTGCTTTAATCGTTATCACTGCATTTATATTAGGCAAAAATTGACCAAATATGGGAGAAAGACCAATGAAACACCGAGAGCTATATCTAATAATTAACCAAAAATGATGATGGTATGCTTTTCACTCTAAAATGGTCGGCTATGTTCACGAAAATAACTTTCCTAGCAAATGAACTTAAAAAAAACTACAACAAATATACAAAAAGTTGAGTTAAAATTATCACACCCAACGAAAAAGGTCACAAATTTCCACACCCGTATTAAAACACCCTTTATATGTAAATACTGCCAAGTTTTCTGTTTTTCTTCTAAAATACCGAATAAATAATATTTAATCACTCTTATGTTGCATAGTATACCATCGACCTACCTTGTATCCAGAGCTGTTGTACTTTTGAATGAATTGTTGCACTTTTCAATCCTACACAAAAAGCACTCAACACTATTATCGCAACAAATAAAATTTTGCCCGCATTTTTCTGTACATATATACCAAGAGTCTGTAGTTGAGACTGGAATAATGAGCGAATATAAAGTGCTGAACGACGACCATGTGCTTTGCCCTATTAACAAAAGAAAAATAATGTTAATAAATTTGAAATTGATATCCTTAACATGTTCGAATTTGGACTAAAATTCAAGAAGCATGTCCGCGAGTGCCTCCTGCGGGCCAGCTCCTCAGTACCAGATCACTCAGTTCCAAAAGAACCGGCTCATTTAGGTTATATTACCATACAAAGAAATGTCAACAAAATTTTAATTTTTTTCAAATATCAGTAGTCAATGTATGGTAACGTCACCTAGATGAGTAAGCAGGAGGCGTTCGCGGATATGCCTGAAATTGAATGATGATCTTTTGGAAATCGGCATCAATTGCCCTGAATCAAGATCGCTTTGTTTGTATAAAAATACATGGGAAAGATTTGACGTAAGGCACCAAGATGCCCTCTACATGGTGCAGGTTGAAGCTGTCATTGACATATTAAAAGTCGTCTACACAAACAGTGTCACACATAATGAACACCCATTTGTACGGCCTGAATGATCGGGTATTGCCCCAAGTCTAGAAAGCCAATGTAGTTTTTGATTCACCAATAACGTAAGCTTGCCTGAATGAAAATAGTGAATGAAGAGTCTTAGGGGGCTTTGTCCAAAGAATGATTGAAGTGTAAAAATATCATGATTGGAACTACATATAATCTTAATTTTAGTTGAATAAATAATCACTTGTTTTTCAAATGAGTTAATCATATAAAAGTTGCTAGGGGTAATGGACTGTATAATTACAAATATAAATACTGTAAATAAGAGCATATTTTTACCGAATTTGAATCAATACGCGTCAATGCCTGAATAATGCATCCAAATACGGCAAATAAAATTCGGCGTATTCGCAATAGTCATTTGTGCTCGCCATGAATGGGACGAAGCGTACAGTGCGTACGTGTGACTACGAAATTAGTTGATGTTTCAATCCTATGGACGACTATATTGAAAATTTACGTGCGATATGATGCACGCACTCGATAGTTCCAATTATTTTAATAAGGAATCTATATAGGTGGCGAAGCCACTTCGTCATTGAAATCGATTCAAATATCGTCAAATATAATAACATTGTTTATATAGGCTTTGAGCGTAGTACGGGACGAAGGAACAAAAGAAAACCACCACAATAACACTACGGAACGCAGTGCAAATGCTTGTGAATATTTGTCAATACAGAAGAAAAAGCAATAGTTCTTTCATCCTAGATTATTTGTCATGATATTTTCAGAGATGGCTTTAGCGCATTCAAGTTCGCTACAGCGCACCCGAGTATTTTTTTGTTTTTTCGTTCTACTTTGGCTTTTTTTATGGACTTGGGTGCGCTAAAGTCATCTCTGGATATTTTTAAGAAACTGATCCCTGAATTAACCAGAGTTAAGCTGATTCGAAAAATATAAAGCTACGCTGAGAAAAGGTTTTCTGCAAAGATCATAGATGGCGTTTGTAAATGGTTAGTTTCCGAACATTTTTATATGGAGTTTGTGAATTGTCAAACTTTTTTGGTATTATCGTCCTGTAGAAAAAGTTGAACAATTCACAGACTCCATATAAAAAAGTTTGGAAACTAACCATTTACGAACGCCATCTGTAATTTTTTCAGAAAACTTTTTCTCAGTGTAGTGTAATTTTGTGGAAATTATGATCTGCCAGTTGGCACTTTCTCTTTTATATCAAATCTAAAGACATATACAGTCATGGACAAAATTGAGTATACGATCCACTTACCTTACCTTAAAATACTACTTCTATTCCCAGAATCAAAAAATCTTGTAAATTACATAATATTCATTGAAAATATTTTTTGAACACTTAGTTTACATTATTAATCGGCAAAAAATAGATCTTTTGTCTGATTGAAAAAGCATTTAAAAATACCAAATTTTTATATGAAACCCCAATAGTTGGATCGTATACTCAATTTCGTCTATGACTGTATTTGTTATAACTATATCAACTATATAGTTGATGCCTCATCGGTCAAAATATTAATTGGCGGAAAATTGAAAAACTCCATAGCACGCTATTTTGTTATACTTTTCCAGGTATAATCAAGGGGGAAATCACTCAAAAGTAATACCAAATAGAAAAGTAATACCTCAGTTATTTCTAGTAATACCTCTGGTATTACTTTTGATATTTCTATGAAAAAAGTAATACCGAAAAAAGTAATATCCAAGTAATACCAAGTAATACTGATCAATAGAAGTAATACACCTGGTATTACTTTTGATTTGTACGGAAAGTAATACCAAGTAATACCATTTATGTAAAAGTAATACCTAAGAGTGATTTGCCCCTCGGGTATAATCGTTGACCTTAAGAGAGAAAAAAAACGGCAGCCAATTGAGAAAAAAAAACAAAATCGAGTAATACTTTTTTACAAATTGTGTGTCATCTTTTCTTCCGTACATTACTACTCGCCGTTTAACATCCAAACATCTTCATTCTTCTCATCTTTTACGGATTTTTACATGTGTTCGTTTATCTTCGACTAATCCATGTAATCGCTTGTAATAATTTTTGTTTGTTTTTATTTATACGCATGCGTCCGTCAAGCTGTCACTTCAGACAGAAGATTCAATTGAATTCATACCATTAATATAATAATCTTTCGGAAAAATTGTCGCTGTCAATACTCACTCAGTCTAATGAACATTTTTTTCCATAAAACTTTTTAGTATTAGTGAATTTCATGACATTTTTCATTTCATAGATAGTATATTGAAAGAAAAGACAAAAAAAAAATTGTGATCATCTCGAAAAACTTGTTTATGTGCTCAAATTATTACACGTTACTACAGATGATAAGCCAAATGATATAATTTATCCAAGTAAAAATTCTATAACACGTTGAACTTTCATTTACTTTATACGCTTCGCGATGAAAAATCAATTACCGAATGGCAATACTTAACCAAGCTACATTATTCCGAGCATTTAGATAGATAAAAAATTATATGAGTAGTGTTTTTTACATTTAAAAACAAGAAGATTGCAAATAATACTCATTTTGCGCAATTTTCCGTTCATTCTTCGAATAAAATCTCGAATCTTCTGTTCAGTTTATTTATACGTACTCGTAATAGTCTCATGAGTTTGAATCTTTTTTGGGGAATGGCTTGAAGCATTTCTTTAAACAGTGCAATCACGACTATTCTTCTCAAAAATGTAGCTCACTACAATGCCGATGTTTATGCTCTAAAGATAGAATTCAACACATCGAAGTCAATACACTCAAAAGATTTTCAGCATGTGCCTACATCATATTAACTAGGTTCAAAATCAGTTTTATTTTTACTGTTCCCAGTTGAGCATGTTGTCAAATTTTAACTTCAGATTTTGTTTTGATATTTAGCATACTGGCATTTTTCGAAGTTTTGGAATGTGAAAAAACGATAAATTCGTTCAAGACGACAGTACAAAACATTTAATCAAATAATATTTTCACAATATCAGAGAATCCAATGTGTTCTTATGATATGAATTATTAAAAGAAGTTTTGTGGACTCCCGAAGTTGTGTGTACAATTGCAAAATGCTATTGATATTCTGCAAAAATGGCCTAAGGGCATTTTTTTTCCGCTTCCCACTTTTGATAGTTATAGCCATATTTTTATGCTACATGTTTGCGGTTCCTCATGTATATGCAAGACACCCATCTGCACAAGCCATGTAAGTATATTCAATATCCAAGCTTTCATCAAATGTGAAATTTACATGGACGTGTGCATTTCTAGAGTTGATTCATGGGCTTCACAATTTGGCGATGAATTAAATTGGTTGGCGAAAAACATGACAAAGGCCGATGAAATAAAAAAAGCAAGTTACAGTTATATTTGTATATTTCATCAAAAAAATCATTGGAATAATATAAGAATTAAAATTTTCCGAAATTCACAGCAATATAAAGAAAATAATGCTAAAGTAGAAGACAAAGGAGAGTTAATTCAAGATGCTGTTGAAAATGTAGGACGAATGTTCCGAAGAAAAACAGTCGCGGTTCGGGTAAGTTGTGAAAATATGTGATATATATATTATTTACCAAGCTTCTTAATAAAAAAAATTTGACATAGACCGATTTTTTCTTGTTTTGTTATTCAGTGCATAGCTAACAAAGCTGAAGAATTAGCTGAAGAATTTGCTAAGAACTTTACCCACATGAATGAGACAACGGAGAAAGAACTTAAAAATCTTCGAACCAATTATCAATATTATTCCAGTAAATATTCAGTTATCAATGGGATTCCATGTACAAACCGCTCGGAATCCAAAATGCAGTGCAACACATTCAAAATCTTGAAAAATGCTAACGCTACGTACTTGGACATGTGGCTTCAAAGGGACAAACATTTTTACCATATTTCTGTAAATAAAACTCACACATCAGTCCATGTGCCTACAAACGTCTTTGATGGAAGTGAGTAATTGAAATAGATTGAAGAAAAATTTAGTTTTTCAATTCTTATATGTATATCTATGTATTTATAGGCAACGAGACGAAAGATGTGTTGGTATGGTCTGAAAAATTGGATTCAGTATTTGTGAAAAATTATAAAAAAGATCCAGCATTATCATGGCAATATTTTGGTTCAGAAACAGGAGTGCTAAGGCATTTTCCAGCTAAATCATGGGAGGATCGTGATACTTCTTCATTAGTTGATGTGTATGATTGTCGAAAACGTTCTTGGTATATCGAGACAGCCACTTGTTCAAAAGACATAGTAATTCTCCTCGATCGCACTGGTTCAATGTTTGGCTATTTGGGATTCTTGGCCAAACTAACCATCAAGAGCTTGTTGGATACTTTTTCGAATAATGATTTCTTCAATATATATACATTTTCCGCAAATGTGACGCCACTTGTCGAATGTTTTAAAGATGAACTGGTTCAAGCCACTCCAGAAAACATCGACGTATTTAATAATAGAATGCTACACTTCAAGGACTTAATTGATGGTTATGCAAATGAAACAGCCATAAAGAATGCCACTATTGTTGCATTTGACTTGCTAAAAAAATATAGAGATGAACGGAATTGCGATGAAAATCCCTGTAATCAAGCAATTATGTTAATCACAGATAATATTCAAGGGAATTTCACAGATACATTCAAAAAGCATAATCGAGTAAATGGAACTAGAGCGCCTGTACGAATATTTACATATTTGCTAGGGAAAGATCAAAGCAACGTGAAAGAAATGAAAAGTATTGCTTGTTCGAATCGGGGCGAATTTTCACATATTCAAACCTTAGATGAAGTTCAAGAAAAAGTTCTCGATTATGTATCGACCATAGCAAAGCCGCTTGTTTTGCAAGGTGTGAAACATCCGCCAACTTGGACGCATGCATTTAAAGATGTTACGGTGTGTATAGAGAATGTAATTAAATGATTTGAATGGCATGAGGAAATTATATTTTATGTTTAGTATCGTGATGAAGAGACTTACGAACCAGAAAATGGCAAAAAAGTTGAAAACCTACCGCCACGATTGATGATCGCTGTTGGTGTACCAGCCTATAAAATAAACTCTACAAACGGTACCCGCGAGTATACTGGACTTTTAGGCGTCGCATCGACGTAAGTTATTTACTACTATTAAGTTAAGTTCACGATTAAATTATGTATAATTTCAAATAACTGATTCTACTGCAGAGACGTACCTGTCGATGACATTGATAAGCTAACACTTCCATACAAGGTTGTATTTTTTATCAGTTTTTTTTTTAAATTCAAAATAGAACAATAGATTTTATTTTATTTTTGTTGGTTTTGTGGAAATAGCTGGGTGTGAATGCATATCCGTTCATTGTTAGTAACAACGGCTACGTACTACTTCATCCAGACCTTCGTCCAATGGTAAAAAAATGCAATTATAAATCACTATAAAATGAATATCAAGAAAATATTGTTTTCATTAAAACGTGTTGATGACAGGAAATTTTCAAAATGAAAGAATCAGAAGAAATTGAAGATCCACAATGTCCAGGAAATACCAACAAAACTGAATGCGTTTACCTCAAAACAAATTATAATAGTATTGATTTCACTGAAGTGGAGCAAATTGATGAAAATATAGAGGAAACCTATAATGGCACAGAAAACGAATTTCGACCACCAATTGGACCTATTTTAATAGAGGTTCTTCTGGAAAATTCTCTTTGTATGATTGTATTTGAATTTGATGAAAAAATACCAATTTTAGTTACGTCGGCTATCATTGAGTCATTCAGTGGAAAAAATGTTGAATGTTTCCGTGCGTTTTCATTACGACAAAATGCGTCGAATATCTGAAGAAAAATATGATTATTATTTTGCCCCATTGAATTCAACACCGTTCACACTTGGATTGGCAATCCCCAGTACATATGGACAAACTCTAATAAAAGTAGGTCATGAGATTCAGAATAACATAAACAGAAAACGAAATATGTCAGACCTGTTCGTTGGACAAAATTGGAAAGTTCATCCCGACTGGTAAGCCTTATGACTGTGAACCATCCTATGAGCAATATGACCTGATGTACAAGTATATTAATTTCCTCTTCTTATCGAAGGGTCTACTGCAAATTCCACTACATGGAATATCAATCATTTGAAAACTCCGAAGAAGAATTACTCTATTTTGTCAGATCTTTCCATAATGAAACATGGAAATGGTCAGATCAATATGGAGCCGATTTAACGCATGGCGGCACAGATGAAGAACATCGTAAGGTTTTGAATATTCTTTTGATTATCAAAAAATATTTTACTCACATTACATTTGATTCTATTTTTAGCAAACTGTGAACAGGAAACAACAGATAAGATTGCTGGGTATTATTGCAATAAAGAGTTGGTTGAATTGCTAGTTTTTGATGCCAGAGTTACAAATACGAGCTACGGAACTTGGAAATTTGAAAGCAAAGAAGCTGAAGATTTAATCAATACATATAATGCGACATTACGTTTTGTAGCTACAATGAGTGGCTTAACGCGGTGGCAATTTATTTTTGGCGAAAATGAAGTTGAAGGAGACAAGTATGTTATTAAGTCAAGTTCATGTTTAAATTATATATCATTTCAAATGACTGATTTCATTGCAGAGAGTTTGGTGACTACTATACTAAAGCAATTGATGAAACATGGTATAAGAGTGCTGTATTACAACACAAGAGCGATAATGAAAGCTTTGTGTATGCAGTACCACATGATGATAAAGATGAAGATAAAGAAGAGGGTGATATAAAAGTGATGGCATCTCATGCAATTTTCCGTATGGATGCCGGAAAAGAAGCACCGGGATGCGTTGTTGGGTTTCAATTCACTCAACAATCAATGTACAAACGCTTCAAGGAAATAACATCACAAACTACGGTATGAACTTAGCAAATAATTTCTGATTTCGATGATCTAATAGAATCTTTCAAATAATTTTTCTTCTGTAGTGTGAGCATTGTTTGCAGTGTGACAATGATATATATGCTTGCTATGTTATCGATAATAATGGGTATATTATACTATCCAACGATTCTGATGATACTGGCCGATTTTTTGGAGAGGTGCAATCCAAGGCAATGCAAACTCTAGTCACTTTGCAGATTTTTAAAGCGATCACTGTGTATGATTATCAAGCGGTTTGTAAAGTTCCAAAAGGGGGCCATAGCACAACATCTTTTGCGACCGTATTTTCGACTGTAAGTGATCCTTTTCCCAAATAGAGTTCAAATAAAAATAGCATTATAATATTTATGCAGCCTTTCCGATTGATGAAAAATTATCTGCAATGGATTATTACGGAGACCATTTTATCGATGGCCAGTATGAATGTATGGACATATGCAGAAATCAGTAAGGGATAGAAAGCTAGAAAAATCTCGATCAAGTTATACATTAGTATCATTCTTTCCATAGACAACAATACAATGGGAGAAAACCAAGAGGGAACAATACATACGAGCAAGGCAGTGTATGAGCTTGAGCCTTGCGATGAAGTGGCTACACTTTATGTTATGCAACAGAAATTTGATACTCCTACATTCGAGACCACGGAGTAAGTTTCATAATTATGATATAGACTTCGTTTTTTATTATTTATTTTTTCTCAATTTTACTGCCTCTCAGTTGGCTATATTTCAGTCGAATCAAACTATCGAATTTACTGTTGGTCGTGGTGCGGCATGAGGTCCATAATTTTCCACCAATCGGTGCCGAGGCGAAGCGAAATAATTATACCTTCTCCGACGATCATATTTTCCCTTGTCATAAAAAGAAACTGAACAAACTGCAAAGACGGAGATTAGACGATTGTTTCACCGAAGATTGTCGCGTAAGTAAACACAAAATTTCAAATACTTAAAATTTATTGCTTCTAATTGAAATGATACATTAATTTTAGGAGTATGAAATGAATGTTTGCTCTGACAGTTATATACTCCATGCAGATTTTAGCTTTAACCTTTTTATAATATGTTTATTGGTGGTTTTGAACATAAAACTATGTGAATTTATATGATGTTCGTAAAAGCGCGGAAAAAATCGACAAGAAATATCCAAATTTGTTTTATGAACGTTTTTTTGATTAGCAGAGAAAGATTTATTTATAATTGTACAGTGTACATTGAAGCAAAATCAGAGAACTCTGCATAATGGATGTGTATGCATAGTTATGTCATTTATATTTTTTGGCATATGTCAACCAAAACTGATAAAAAATTGTGAAGAAAATGTGCCGTATATTTTAAGAAAATTCAATAAAAATGACCAAATCAACAATTTATTGACTCTACCATATTTACCTCATCTCAAACAAAAAATAAACTCAATGGCTATTAATTGATTTCAAAACCATTTATTGACGAATATTCAAAATGGTTTTGGGTTATTTTCATCGCGAGGCGTGCAATGAATTATAACTTTAATGGCACCATCACGATTATATCGTGCAGTGTCAAAGGCTTTTTTGGTTTCCTCCATATCAAAATGATGTGTCATCATTTTCTTTACGTTTATTTTACCGCTCGAAACTAGCGCTAGAGCAGCAGGATAATCATTGCAGTATCTGAAGACGCCGCGGATATCGATTTCACGCGTAAGTGCTGATATTAAAGGTATTTTGACGTCGGGGGGACCACAACCAACTATAACCACACAGCCAGCGGATTTAGTAGCTAGAAGAGCTAAACGATTTGTTGCTTCTAGCCCACTGCAATCAATTGAAACATCTGGAGCGGTACCAAGAATATCATGCACTTTTTTGACTAAATCTTCTTCCTTCAAGTCTCTGGAAACAATCAATGTGTGTGTTGCACCTAATTCTTTGGCTAATTTCAAACGTTCATCCAAAATATCAGTTATAATAATACCACCAGCTCCCATGGATAATGCTGATATAAGTACTGATAAACCAATCGGGCCGGCCCCGAGAATCAAGACCTTTGTTCCCAGGCCAATGTTAGCACGTCGACAAGCGTGTATACCTACAGAAAGTGGTTCTAGCAAGGAACCTTCTTCCATAGTAACATGGTCGGGTAATTTAAAACAAAAATCAGCTGCATGGGCATAATAACGGGTGAGATTCCCATCCACTGGTGGAGTAGCGCAGAATATCATACCAGGACATAGATTGTACTTGCCCTGCTTGCAATTCTCACAATAGCGACATGGAACCCCCGGTTCAATAGCAACGCGATCACCAACTTTCAAATGAGTGACTGATTTACCCACTTTGTGTACAACACCGGACGACTCATGACCCATAACCATTGGTTTTTGCAAAATAAATTCACCGATACGACCATGAACGAGATAATGAACATCAGAACCACAAATCCCAATTGAATCCATTCGAAGTAACACTTGACAATCGAGAAGTTGAATAATAACTTTTAAATTTATTGTATTTATTATTATTGTGATAATTTCAATTGTTTTGTTTCGTATTGTTACCTTGATCATCTTTTATATTGGGAATCGGACGTTGTTCCTGCCATTTGAAAAACATGAATCAATATTTACGAACGAACGCTCCTTTCTTTATGCTTACCAAGCGAATATCCTCAATTCCGTACAAAATAGCCGTCAAATTATCACTCGACATACTTCTGTTCTTTTTTCTAATTTTTGAATTGGTGAAAATAGTTGAATTTGCTTTTTCCTCAAGCGATTTGCTCTGATCAGTTCATAAATTCGAGAAAACCAGTATAAACGTTTTCTGTTTGTTGTGTGGAAGAAATACTGATGTCTAAAAAAATTATAAGATGATGGGAAAAAATCGTTTTCACTGGAGTCGTTGTGACGTATAGAAATGTCAAAATTATTCTATACACGAATGAACGCATGCACGCACGTATGTTTATTGTTTGAAATGATTATTTTATTTTCGCATGATTTGATTCGTTTATTTTTTAGGTGATAAGTATTATTGTTAACATATTTGATAAGTTTTAATCAAATCGGTGAATATAAGCATCGGTAAATGATGTGAATTGGGAAGTATTCTAACCATGAAGTAAGCTTATTGTGATGTGCATTTTTTCGATTCCTTTCACGAGGAAACTATTTCCTGTGAACTAGAAACATATTCACAGAGAAAACTGAGTTGATTTTCACGTAGCAAAATGTTTGAAAGTGTCAAATTCCAACACATGTTGAGTTTTTCGCAACAAATGTTTTTTTCCATATTGACTCAAGTTTTTGTCAAATTAGACACCGGCTCCCTTACATCGTGTCTAATTTTCAAATTAGGCGCCAATTTTCATTGAACACGATGTAAGGGAGCTGGTGTCTAATTTGACAAATACTTGAGTCAATATGGAAAAAAACATTTGTTGCGAAAAACTCAATATTTGTTGGAATTTGACACTTTCAAACATTTTGCTACGTAAAAATCAACTCAGTTTTCTCTGTGTTGTTTCAGAGATCTCCAGAAAGGACAGCAGCTTTGCATTTATATCATTTCAATGTTCTATGAATTCTTCATGCATATTCATACATTTCCCTTAAATTTTTATCATTATAAGGCATTGTTAAAACCAATTTGGTCGTTCGATTTGCGTGTTGTTCTCAAAGTAGAAAACAATGAATGTCTTTACGTTTTGTTTGCATAATTTCTCTACTCCAAATTTTTGAAGTGGACAAAAACTAAACTAATACGTCCTACTGTATACTCCGTTTTTGGCGATTTTTTCAGTCTTTTTTACTTCCACGCTTTCTTATTTAGATCAAAATTTAGCCCAATTGAATTCCTTTTTTACCAATTTATGATTTCAAACGAGAATAATAATAGAATTATTTGTAATAAAATAAAACCAATTATAAAAATATCAACAAATACAGATACAGATTTGCTGAAATTAAGTTCTTGTGGTTCTTTTGCTATCTGACAATTATTTGTTCATTCATTATTTACAGCAATGACTATACTAAGCAAGACATTTTCCTCTTAATTAACACGTTTCAAGTCATTACTCCAGTGTGCACACTGTTCAAATTGAAGCTACATTGTTGGAATTGATATATCAATTATAAGGAGAAACTCGGCATAGAAATAAAAAAAAATAAATCATTCGGACATTAACGAAAGTTAAAATGAAGAAATAATCTTATACGCTTTGATCTGTTATTTACAGCAACGAAGTATCTTCTATTTCTTTTTGTGTTGAAAAAACATTTGGATGGTCTCACATGTAGACCATCATCCATGCTGTGCGAGATGCTTTGTATTTCCTTTCATTCCATTTCTTTTCCAAAACGTACGAGTCGGCTCTTTTTATTTGTGTGATTCCTGATATAACAAGTATCGAAACTATACAAACCAATTTGAAAAGACAGACAACTAAGAAAAAAAAGACGGAATGGAGGAGCAGAAGAAAATAAAATAAGGCAGAGATGTATGGTGGTAACATCGTTTTTAATGTCTTCATTAATGATTCGATGTATTGGAATGTATTTCTTGGTCAACCTGTGGATAAGGTGCCAAACCTACTAGAAAAGAAAAATTTCTCAATTTCTTAGTTTATTTGTAAAGCATTCTTTCAATCATGTCTGTACAATGTATGCATTGCACACCAATACCAATATCCAAGCACATATAAGTTCAACTGTATTTTATATCTGTTTTTGTGTGCGTGTATTTATTGTTAGTTGTTCATCGTAAAAGTCTTAAGAAGGAAAGAATGGAAGCAACATAAATCTGACGAAGGTGAAAACTAAATCAAGAAAAGAATCCGAAGGAAATAAACAAAGAAATGGAAACAGGCAATGAAAATGATAAAAGAAACGAACAATGTCAAAGCAATGTATAGTGCTGTAATAGAATGCATTGATGTTTGGTCTATTCAAGAAACTAGTAACGTACCTATGAAATTTCGAAACATTGAACTATGCACTTTATGGAATCAATCCTTAGAACACAGCAGTAAACGAGACGTATTTTGGCTGATACCACCTCGATTGTTCAACACGAAAACAAGTAAAGAAATTCAGTCGAAAAATATCAGATATTTTTTCCAAAGTTTTTCGATGTTTCGAAAAATCCATGAAAATAATAAACAACATCGTATGAAGCAAAGGTTTTTTATATTCGAATGGTTTGCATTTGACAGTTACCCCATTTGTTTACATAAATATGCGTAATTTATAGGACACACATTCCATGTTTAGGGGATTTAGAACAATTTACTACTCGATAGCAAAATAACCGCGTGTTTGCATTCACCGTAGTCTGTGAAATGTGCATGAACAAATACACCCAAGTATAAGCATAAACTATTAAAGATGCATTTCATTCGACCTCTTACTACACTCGTACCCGTATCACACATTCGAACCCATATACAAAATAGATGATGTATTCACAATTTGTTTTCTTTGCTTTTTCCTTGCAACTTTATTTTATTTGTTAGTGGCATCGTGGATAATGTTGTCTCTTTTTACATTATATTTGGTGTAGTTCTTTTTATTTTGTTTTTTTTCTCTTTGCTCTGTAGTTCTGAATTGAATTGGTTCGTTTGTTAATGATCACCATATTCCGGTATCCAATTCACGTATTTCTCGAATTGTTGGTGGGATACGTGATCGTTTTCCATGCTGTGTGCATGTGTACGATCTCAAAGATGTGAGTATGTACTATGTCTCTTTTAAACGTTGCTGTCGTCATCGCAGTAATGTTTCTCGAAAAAAAATGTTTTAGATTGGATACGTCATTTAAAATCCATGGTTTGTTTCAATACATTTTTTTCATTAAAGGATATATTTTTTTCGTCATAAATATATATTCGATATAAAATTTTGTACATTGAAAAGCATGAGTGCAACCGAAGGTTGAACTTATACCAGTGCAGTTGCAACGAAGGAACGGCTCAAATGGATTAAATGAAGTGTGTATGAAACTGACACTATGACTATTAAAAATAAAGTTATTTATTTCATGTCTAAAAAACATGATATGAAAATTTTGGAACATTGAGCAAAGAATATTTATATAATATTTAAAATCATCCTCGTGCAAATCGAAATCTATGAGATTTATTGTTTTTGTATACTGGGAAATATACTGGAAGTGGTTATACTTTGTTTCATGGAATTTCCGAGAAAAAATGTAAATTTCGGGGTAAAAATCATCCTATGAAATTTACCACATTTCTATTTATAATTACAGCTGAGCTGTTGTTTGAAAAAATCCATTTATTGGAACTTTTCAATTTTGTAATTGTAAAATCACTGAGTTTGGGTCAATGTATGCATTGATTCATATCTAGCGATGGTTGATCACTGACGGTTTGCTGCCCCAGCTACATCTGCGTAAATGACCTGAACTTTTCTTTGGAAATGAAATGTTTTGCTCAAAATCCACTGCTGTGTCCGAACCGTACGGAATGTAGCATTCTTTTCAGAGAAATGCATGTGTGCGGTCTCGAACGCAATACAAAACATGGAAGAAAAAATGGAAAGATAACACAAAAATGGACAAAGATGTTCATATTCCTTTAATAGCTTTCAAACGCATTGTCACACATATGTGTGAATTTTTTTTGTGTAGAAAATTTCTTGGCCAGACAAGAACGTCAAATAGTTTGGACGATTTAATGTTTGTTTTACAATCTTCGAATCCCCAATGAATTTTTAAACTTTATAAAATCAAGATTTTGGTTTAGTTTGCTTGAACGATTAAATCAATTCGATCACTAATCACAATATATTTGAAGTGTAGTTAGGGAAGTTCAGTTGTTTTATGTTTTGGTTTGAGTGTACATATATAGAACACTTACCTTCTCAATTTGATCAAGTGCAACATTAGCATCCACCCAACTCGTTCGTATATACAGATCGGAGAAGATCTTCTCATCAACAACATCTCCATGTGCATCGGGCACTCGTGGCAATTTATCCATTTTTGGCATCATTTTCAATAGATTTTTTTTTTAAATTTATACCATCGAAGAACACTTCCTATTACTTGAGTTCAATTTCACTTTAAATTCAAATTGAATGAATTAAAACAACTGAATTTATTACCATTTCGGTCATTCAACGAAACTTTATTCACAGTTCAATTAATTCGAGTCACTATTTTTTTGAAAGATTTGGTCCACAGGGGTATCCAAATATCACATGTAGTTTTAGATGAAGTAAACGCATAATTTGATACATTGATTCCTCGGGTGTTTTCTAGAGACACTGTTTTAATCACACAATTAATACGATTTTGTTTGAAAACTAAGCAAGTGTAGATGATTGTATTGTTTATGTGCGTGCTCAAATAATAACAATGAAAATGGTGAGCGCAAACTCTATATGTCAATGCTTAATTCCGTAAATAACACTCGTCAACATGAACAAAAACCGCGAACATCGAATTTTTGTGTCCAATCATTGTGCACACATAAGTACGACTAGCATGTCATATACCATTATGAGGAAGCCATGTACATATTACGGTTATACACATACGGTTATACACACTTACACATACATACATGGAAACATACAAACATATTTTAAAATGTTTAGGCGGACTCGTATGCTGGAGCTTACAACTTGATCACAACGATTGGCATGCAGTACAAAAGATCGAAATGAGGTAGTGTTTGTTGAAAACACTCAATGCAAACACATGTACAGTTTAAAATTGTTTCTTGTATTCCCGAATTGAGCATCATCTTGCTGCTGATGTTTTTTTCTGCTATTGCTGTTAGCATTAGTTTGTGATTTCGTTTTGTTCTCTTTTTTTCAAGTAATACGCAGAGGAAGTGAGCAAAATGAAGAGAGACATTGAATAATACAGAGAAAAGGGAACAGAATTTATTAGACATATTCCATGAAATGGCATCAAGAGAACGATTGTATTGAAAAATGTACCATGCACCACCCACACTTATGCAACTACTATACCTTAAGTCACACTGCCAGCCCGCATTTTGTTCTCAATTTTGAAATAGCACGTCTGTGAGAAGTGTTTGAAGATGTACCTAAATTACCCACAGATTTTAGAATAATATTTTTTATCGGTCGAGTAATTTTAAATTAAAACCTTATTCAAGTTACTATTGAATTTTACTGATGATTTTATGTTTTATTCAGTATTTCGAGCATTGACTGAGTAAGCAAAACATACTGATGGGATAAGATCGTTTTAAATACTCGTAAGTGTGAAGGGGTCGTGTTCAATGGCCGTTTCTTGGTCTTATGTTTGAGTAAAATAGTATAGTAACGACGAATACATACGAATACATCGATGCGACAGGCACATGATCGGCATACATACAAAGATGTTTGAAAAATCACTCGTTCATATTTCATCGAGCGTGTCGAGTGTAAAGGCATGTTAAAATCTGCTCTGATACAACACAGTTTTATTGAAACATCTTAATTTTCTACGCCGAGTTTTCTTTGTCGCCGGGAATACGGACAAAGTAAAAAGAGAAAACGAAAAAAATACACACACTGCACGATGGTCGTCGCAGTAAAAACAGTTCCGATTTAGGTCTTTATTCCACAGAATGTATTTTGAAAAATGTTTCGGCTTTTGATTGTGGGTATGAGAAACCAAGCTTGTGAATGAAAGAGTGAAAGATAGTAATTTTGTTTTGAGTCTTTTCCGCCTTATTGCTTTCGTTTTTTCTTTCTCTTACATTCGAAAGAGATAGAAACTTTTGAACAAATAGTTGATCAGTCAGTAGGTTCAACTTTAAATATATAAAAGAATATATTCCTTTTGACCTGCGCTTAATTTCAGTGTTCAAGAACGATCTTCACCAATGGATGTCAATACGTTGATTAAATTTTTGTAAGCTTGACGCCAGCGACGCACAGGCCGAAATCAGAACTAAATGTAACAGGCAATTGATTGTGCCGTTCATATTGAAGAGTGTTTATTATTGTTGCGGCTATGACAGCGCGTGCGTTTACTGCTTCCATAGATCATATATTTCAATTTTTCAATTGAAGCTTTGATTTTTCAATCTTTTGGTTTTCTTCATTTGACAAAATATTCTGCAATGGAAATATTCTTCAGTGGAATCATGAAAAATATTACCTTTATAGAATTCAAAATAAATATTTATGCTAAAATATTTACATGCTTTTGTAAACATTTTGATATTCAGACGAAATGTCTGAGGATATGTCCTCAACAAACCATTTGAATTTATTATCATTATGTTCCCACCGAACTGAATAATAATACTGAATATAATTGATAAAAATCACCGAAAATGTGAGATTCAAATGACTTGGTACTCTATCATTCCAGTAGAGGACACTAACAAATGCTACATCATAAAGTTGCAAGAAAGAAGTCACGATCTCGCTCTCGCTCTCACTCGTTTCGGTTTTTTCCATTTTCTCCTATTAAAAATTTACTTCAGGGTGGTCTCTGCTTACACATCGCTTCGTTGTACTGACACTCTGGCTCATTGTCAAACTGTGCAGATGAAATCAAAGAAAATAACTGAGATATATAAACGACAGAAATTTAATTGGATTACGTTTACCAGAAATTGGAAAATGTTCAGAGTATAATTTGCTTTGATATTTACAATGATTACAACATGTCGAATTTTATGCAAAAAAAGAATCAGCTCTGTCTTAGTTTGGTAGACTCGTATGTAATGTTGTTTTAGCGCAAACTGGGAAGGTTGAATAGTGTAAGTATACAACTGGGGAAAAAACCAATACTGATGAGAGATTTCTGATACAATGAGAAGACAACGAAGACAGCAATGTTACCGCACATTGGATCGAAAATGTTATGTGTGTCCCAAATTGGTGTATTCAAAGGTTTTAGAACACATATTATTCCACTATAGAAAAACTATCGACAGTTTATCAAACATAAATAAATTAAATTAAGAGCTAAATCAAAAAATGGCATATTAATATTGATGGTTAATTCGAAAATTTCCTCTCAAAACTCGATTTTTTTTTTTTTTTTATGATTAAAGATCATCAGGCCTAGTAAGAATGCCGTCAATATTATTGTGAAGACAAAATATTTAACCATTGAAGTCGAGAAACAGATAAAAACTCACGCAACCTATGTAGTTGCATTTTTTGACAACGCTAATACAAAGTAGGCAGAATGACGGTCGACACAGCATGTAAAAAAGGAGGGATAAGGGATTGTGCATTGGTTTCATTGTCTCTGTTACTGTTTTCTGATGTTTGTGAGTCTTACTGTTGCCTAAGACCACCCACATTCTCTTTCGATTTCTTTTTAATTGAACACAGACTCAAAGTGCACGATGCAGCACACGCCAAATGTCTAAATGAAATTTTTATTTATGAAGGATATGAAAACGTAAAGCAAGAACTCGCAACCAACTAAAAATAAACACAACGATCAAGCACATTCACTTCATCATACTACCGATTATCATTTACATCGTCTGATTGGCGCGCCAAACTTCTACTTTCTGTTTATCTGCTTTTTATGTATTCGAATTGGAATTGGTATACAGAGAAACAATGAATGAATGAACTTAGTTTGCGAAAGTTCATACCCGATACGATATTCATCGTATGATTCATTTATATTCACTTTATCAATCTTGCGTCAAAGAGTTGCATCTTTAAAAATGAAACCTAAAAATAAAACATGAGGAGAAACTGTAAATAATTTTGTGAGGCGCATAGAAATTTTATGTTTATCAGAAAGGTGAATGGTTTCGTATATCCAGGATATAAAATAAAAATTGTAGTTGAGTATTCAATTTTAGGATAGCTAATTGTAGCAAACTGGCTTCTGAAGTTTCCTAAAAAGAAACAACAACTATGTCCGAATGAAACATATTGGTGTTTCATATGTTTTCATTTTTTTTTCTTTAACAGATAAACTAATAACAATTGGTTTAGTAGCGACATCTATTCAAAGTGATATCTAGCAGCCAATTCTATGTCAAATGATAGCCAGATTTCAGAGGAACATCGGTTATTGTTTATATTTTCGAAGCGGAGCCTGTGAAAGAAATCTTCGCAGTAAATTTGCTACAAAGGAAATATCAGCTGAAAATTCAGGTATTGGTATCGCTGTGTGCGGTATTTATGTCAACACGTATTGAGCGCGATGTGTCAAACAAATACCAGTTACATTCATATTGAACTGAGCATTTGAAAAGGCAAGTCAATTATTGCGAGTATTTTTGGATTTGTGGGGATTATTTTTTTTTTGTTCAAATTAAGTAATTCAGTCAATGTTTTTATGTAGCAAATAATAACGTAAAAAGATGTAACGTTTTTAGAATTTTTTTCCGTCAAAATCGACTGAAATTTCAGTGTAAACCAACTGTATGAATATTGAGAACGAGAAAATGTTAGATTTTAAATTAAAGAGAAAAGAATTCTGTACCAATTAATAGTGTTCACACAACGGAGCAAAAATTGCATAAAATTCTATGATTTAAATTGTTCATGTTTTTGTTCATGTATTGATCCAAAGAGAAAGAACTAAATGGTGAAAGTATATTTTCAAATTCATTTCTTCTGATTTTCAACGATTGCGTTTTAAATTTTCCAGAGATGGCAGGCAAAACTAATTTCGTGCATATTAATTTTCCTCATTTTTTTCGTTTGGTGTTTAGAGGTGAATCTCATTCGTTGTATCTCGTTGATCGTACATAAAACGGCCAACATTCTAACGGGGAAGTGATTGCAATAAACAAAGGTATTGCGAAATATTTTCTGCTTCTAACAAAAACAACGTATTACAGAAGACAAATATTGAAAATTCAATAAAATCGACATATTTTTAGTTCAATCGAAATGAAAAACATCCAAAAATTCTCTTTGGATCCAGATGTACTGAGATTGTACCATACCTGTACTAAAAATGTACAAAATAGGAAAAAATGAAGTTTGAGGCTCTTTCGAGCGTGTTCTTGAGCGTTTTTAGGCGACTACACACCAATATTAAATGGAGAATCTGTCACCTTGACATGTGGTAATATAGCGGTTTACCCGATGTAGAGGGGAATTTAACCTCAAACTGGATTAATTCCTATATAAATATATGGCGCTCTCTCCGCCATTCCCCTCTTTTTTTTATGGATAGTACGGGGAGTATAATACTCGTCGCTCAGGCTGTTTTTCAGTCTATTGCGAGACGCCCGCTTAGGTGGATTATTTGCGCACCATTCGTCGATTGTGGAGGGCCCATCCGTTGTGATGTGCCCTGTGCCTGTAATCCATTCAGGGTCGGGCTCCACCAACGCACTAGTGGGCCACATCACATACAACATTTGGCACGCTCCGCATCCATTCCATTGAGCCATTTTTCTCTTGAGTTTTTCGATGGGGACATGCTTCTGATACTGATATACCGATGTATTCACCAATATCAGGCAATAACCTTTAGCTGCGATTGCAACCAATACTGAGTATTGAAGACAACAACCTAGC